AAAATCTCCACAAAACCCCTTCCGATTATGTTATTATTAATTACTATGAGGATATTAACTAGAAAGTCCATATTTACTCCCAAGCCGTTCATACCATAATTTAAATTCCTCAACTATTAGATGTAATGAAAACGGTTGACAGTTGTAATTACAGATAACAATGGATAGATGATAATCTAATGTCCAAAGTATTAGGTGTTAATGATTTGAATTTTCTACTCGGTTAATTATACAGTCTATGACACTATGCTAGAACTTCATGGACTTTGTTACATCATAAAGCTGATTTCTAGTAAGTACACATAAACTCTTATTCCTATGGTATTCATTAAGGCCGAGCTTTTTTACAGTTAAATGGATTTCCACTAGTCAGTTTAATTATTTGATTAATTTTTTATTGTAAAACAATCTATCATAAGTAGTCGAGTGAAATTACTCTAATAATAATATGTCAAAGCATATGATTAGTCGAAGTTTAACCAAAATCATCGACAGGAAACCGGATAGTCAAGAACATTTCGTTTTTTTCTAAGGTTACTAATAGTTGTAATAGGTTAAACCAGAGTATAGCTATGGCGAAACTAGGTTTCTAAAGATGTCAAATGAAGAATAATGAATGGTAAAAAAGCTTGAGAAAATTTGAACTATATCTAATATTAAAATATCGTTTGTTCTGGGATTTTCCAGAGAGGCATATGATCTGAAGCTTGTTTTTACCATTATATTTGACATCAATGGAAATACAAAAGGAAAGCAGATACCACTAGGTAGTTGTTTGGTGCTTTCAATAGTCTCCACTTACATTCAAATTGAAGATTGAACCCAGAAAATTTAGGTCCTGAGACATATGTGATACAATTAACTGATTTTCCTTTAAAATAAACGGATCCCGTACAAAACCACTTCCTGAGTAAGTCACCTCATGCGTAGTGTTTTATTTGCGCATAAATTAGGGGATACTTATTTACCGTTCTTGAGGACAATCATCATTTCAATTGAAAATTTGAATAAGCAGATTTTAAAGAGTAACTATCAATAGAGTGTATCACATATCACCAAAACTCATTCAATACCAGTGTTAAGGTTGCAACTATATGTTGAAAAATTTGGTGTTATGTCAATAAACATATTTTACATTAGAACTTGGTGAAGAGAGGCTCCCAATCATGTAACTAACCTTGATAATTAAATGCCAACTGGAAAGATATAGTGGTGTGAAGTTCTGTTCTGCTTGTCCTGAAAGAAATTAAACCACTCAACTTGGACAATAAATATGATACACTGAATTCTACCTATTCCGTAAGTTGTGAAATTTATCTAAATGCAAGAAATTGCAAATAAACATAATGAACACCAGTCAACCAGCTATGATACTTAACGCACATCGCTAGGTAGTTCATAGATTTGTATTGCTATGTTTAAATCAATACCCATTCACTCATTTATATAAATTGGTTCTAATAAACTGTTTGAATATAATAAGGGAAAACAAGAATATTTGCACAACAAAGATACCCGAATATTCTTTAGAAATTTAATTATCCACAATTCTTTACTCCATGTTCACCTATTAAACATCGAATCAATTAAATACCTAATATCTCTACCTGTAGTTTTTATTTAAAACAAACAGGTGTTTACTGACCTACCTTTCCACCCAAATCATTAATATTACTAGTAATGATACTAATGTTACTTTCCACCCCTAGCGACATGAATAAATCTACCTTCAGTGATTATCACTGTGTTCATCCAATCACTTTTCGTTTATGTTTTTTCTTATTTTCAATATTCTGTTAGGATCTATACTGCATTAAATTCTTTACTAAATTCATCCTATTAGATACCCTATAAATTTTTCCCATACTTCCTATTCTACAATTTGTATCTTGATTCCTGCTTTTTTTTCTAATATTTTTATTTGTGTGCGCGCATTTCTATTCTTATTACGGTGCTTATTTTTCAACAGCACACATATACTACACAGATACACACACATACATGTGATTTTCGTTATTCTATTTATTTTCTTTGTAGTTAATATGTGCAAATGTTTACACCTGTAATTTATTTAATTTATAAATAATAATAATAAGGATGTATACAATTGGATTATTTTCCAGAATTATATTATGTAACTTATGACTTACGTTTATGAGTGATGTTACGTGTAAATCTTTGTATATTTGTATGGCTGTAATTCATAAATAAATAATTATTTAATAATTGTGCTGTATGAAAATAGCATTGGTCAACAAACTGATTTCTGATTAATAGACTTGAAATAAAGTTTGGATTACTTCTGGATTAATCAGTGATAGCTATATTGTATTGTATTATTGGTTTCTGACTTAGGGACTGAATCATGTTTTTTTGTAGTTTTACATAAATACTATTGGATTGTCCTAAGCTGAATTGAAACGTTTTTCTAGTGCCAATAGGTTTCCTACAGTTTTTCAGTAGATATCAGTTTGTAATGAAACTCGTTTCTGAAGTCAAACGAGTAAATTTTGAAATGCTGAATTATCACAATATAGTATCTCTGTTTATTTTCAAGCAAGGTTATAAATGCTTGTGAAACTTTTGGATTTATTTTTTTTTTAAACAGTCTGATGAAAAGATATACTATTGAAAAGTGTTAAAATTTGGTAATCAGCAATTATCAGGTTTTACCAGTTTTATATCTGACAGACGATTTAATATTTTAAGGTTGAGCTTACCAACAAACCCGTTGACTCAGTCTCGAAAGTATCAATCAAGCTTCAATAATAAATAGTAACCGCTTAATAATGTATCTATCATAACCCAGCAGCTAAAAGGTTAACTAGTTGACATTTGAAGTAAGAGATCCAGCGTTTGAGTCTAAGCAGAAAATCTTAGACTTACTGGGTTGTACTTGTATGTCCAGTTTGTAAGTGCTAAATGAATATACTTCATGAACTGCAGTCATGGCCACGGCCAATGCTATCTAAATAATCGATCGTTAATAATCTTAAAATTTTGATGATTCTTGAGCTATTAATAAATTTAAATGCAAAAATAAAAAATCAAGCGTTCAAACGTCCGGCAACTTCTATATGTATCTTGAAACTTAGCCTATGAAAATCAGTTAAAAGTGAATATCAGAATATTGTTTTAATACTATTACGAACCTGATGCACTCGATTCATATTAAACCTTTGAAAATATTTCAATAATAGATATGATTATCTCAAATCTACTTTTAAAACCTTGACTACATGACAAATATGACATAACAAAAACGGAATCTAACAGCAACTTTGCACACAATAAATTATCCCTTGTGAAATCCATTCCACGTGATCTCATCAATTGATAGAGCACTCATTAACTTTTTTCGACCTACTACTCGGTAGCAGTTACAGAAGATAAGTGGTTAAGATATCTTTGAATTAAATGGTTAAAGTTTGTTAGTCGTGCCTAACCACGAGTGATCTCAGTGCAATGTGACAGATAATGTATAACAAAGTTTAGAAAACCTTAAGTTTGATCAGACTTTGTATCAACCTGTAAAACTATTATCTGTTCATCTATGTTGTCTGAAAAGTTGCAGATTTTCTGGGTGGAATCAGAGTGAAAATCATAACGTATGCTTGGATACATTAATTAACAATGCTTGAAATCCGTCTCAGAAGTACCGATCCATTCATCACTTATCTTAATGTAAAACTTAGATCAAGTATTATTCCTACACCTTTCCATTCACTATGTTAATCATTCATCTTGAAATGTCTTTACTATTCAATTTTCCACCACATTTATGTTATTGTCATTCTAATTCTTTGAGTTTACATTCTACTTATTTTCTCCTTCTCACTTTTTCTCAATGTTGATGTGAGCTGTGACACCGAAAAGCGTTAAATCTTTACAACAGATTCTATATTGTTTACGTTTGTCTGTTTATAAAAATACTCTGTTGGAGGCGATCTTTCTTTAAATTAAGAGATGACCAACAGATCTATGAATAACTTACACTTTTAATTCCCCTTACATATAGCAGCTGATTAATTTGATTCATCAGGGTTATTGATAAAGAAAATTCAAATGTTTTGTGCTAAAGTATTTTTGAAGAAAATTGTTGATTTTACAATTATTGCTCAGTGATTATTAGGGAAATGTCTCCTATGAGTGTATTTCTAAAGACTATAAACAAAATCCATAGACATCTACCAGTTTATATATATATATGTACTATTAGTTTATTAAATGAATCCGTTCAAACTATCGATATTTTTGTCTTTAGACATTTTATACATGAAACCCAATGAATAACTTTGTCTTCACATATCCTAACCTTTCATTAATCATTCATGGAGTTCTTAAATTTGGTTAAGCATTTTCATATTTTGATCTAAATTAATTAATTATTCCTTCATTCGATTATTTTTTTTTAAATGAAAACTCACACTGATACATATATGCCTTACCTGCTATGAAATAAGTTCAATTTGTGTATACTCACTATTACTTTGATGGATTTATCCATCCTATCTGATGTTGTTCATAATAAGTGTACATTATTCAGCTTTCGGTGATCGGCTTTCAAGAGTTTCTTCGAGTAATCTCTATCGGTTTCTAAAAATCAAGTCTCAAAAATATTAAACATTGCTATGTTATCTCAACAATATAGCCACAACTATTTCTAATCATTTCATCACTTACTCATAGACATTTTGTTTATGTAAATGATTTAGAAGTAAAATATCTGTCAACTTAATTTTCCACTTAGTGCTTTTGTTCTTTTGTAATTACTCATATTTCATTGAATGTCCTAGTTTTTGGTAACTGTAAGATATTTTTCTAGGATGTGGAATATATGTATATATATATTACCAAAAGCACAAAATCGTGTGTAGGTATGATACATACATCTTGTATTGTTTCCACTAGTTATCGTGTTTGTTTACTTCTTATTACATATTAACTTATAGATGATATGTCTAACTATTTTATGCTTTGTTTTAACCTTGATTACTCAGAAAAATTTGAAGTTACATTCGTGAAATAATTTCTTATACAAGAGACCTAGCTAACTGAAGTGAAAGTGTGAACTTTCATCAGGAAATAATCGCTGATATTGTCAACTCCTAATTGTTGTTCTAACTCTTTGGTCTCAAGTAATACAGCATGATTTCAATGTGTATTTGTTCGTTGTTACATATTTGAATCTACTATGCAGGTAATCTGATATTTTAGCCTCATACACGTTTGGCATTAACAGTTACATTTATCTTGACTTAGTTTGTTATTTTCCAGTGTTCAGCATCTGTATCAGTCAACTAGCAAATGTGAAACGTTACATTGAGATTAAATCCTTTGAAATTGAGCAATGATAATTAAATAGTTACTGGATTCAAACCAACTTCATTATTTTTACTCCAATCAAGAACATTGACTAGTCTTAATGTTAGTTTTTTTTAAAGATGAGTTACAAAGGTCTTAGAATATTTCAAATATGATTTGATCGTCTAATTCTGAGTTTGGTAGTTTGGGAAGGAATTTACTCCTCAAAATTATATTGATGGACGACACGAGTTACAAATTTATTGAATAAAACAGGAAACAAAGATAACTCCATTTAGATATATCTATAATAATGTACTTAATTTCCTATCTACTATGTGTCAAACTAACACGTCATTTCAATACGCGTCGTTACTTTGTGTTTTGAAAGACTCATTTAGGGACCACAACTGTTTTTTTTTCAGATATCATCAGATTGTTGGTTCAGTAAAATGATACTAAATACTACCATTATCTCTCGTTTCATTATATCAAGAATACTACACCTAACGTGAAGCTCATGTGCACACATTAATCGAAAGAGTAGAAAAATCCACTTGATTATTAATATGTCCTATATAAATTAGAACACAAAAAGTCAACCAACTGATATAAACCATCTTTGATGTTATTCGAAATCACTCATTCTAAATATGTTAGTGCATATATTGTCTAATTAATTCCTTTCTGCATATTTCACCAAAAAATATTCTATTTTTACATAATCAATAGTTGTGTTTCAAATCTATCCTATCCCTGTTTGATGTGTCTTTCAGGTTGGTTAAATTGGTAGACAGGCACATGTACTATTGTCTGCTGTTTATCTCTCCATTAAATGTTTTATAAATAATCCCTTGTAGGCTAACCCCTCCCACACTTTTGATTAACTTGTACCTTAAAGAGAGAGAGTGAAATTAAAGAATTGACAGCTTTTAAATATACATACACATGAAAATAATGTTCTACAGGGGCGATAAACATTATAGTTTAATGATTTTATCATAACTGTCGACAGAACAAGAATAATCTGTAAACAGTCATTCAAAGTCTGTGGATTAATTTTTTTTATAAAAAAAACAAACAAATTTTACACATAAATATATGATATTTGAAGAACAGAATCCCTACTGTGTTCTACTTCATAAAGTATGAAAATATGGAATTATGTTGACGATAATGATTCTGATGAAAAGATCACTTTTCCTAAGCTTTTCTCATTGAAATGTACTCGTACATCCATACTCACTAACTAGTTTACTGATTTGATTTATCCAGATGTTATGTTTTGTAAATCAGAAGCAAAGGAAATTGTTATTACATATTATGTAATGTTATATTGAGAACTTACTGCAGTGTTTATATGCATGACTGTTAAGTTAGTTTTATTATTATTTTTTAATATACACTAACGGGATTTATAATCCAGTTGCTAAATTAAGAAATACTTGCGTCATTTATATCTTCTTACATATTTACACACATGTTGTACACGTGTACACACGGAACATATGTCAATTAATAATTGTTCTTATATATTTCTGGATAAGTATAGGTGGAACATAATCCCAAAAAAATTTATTTTTCTAAGAAATCAAATTAAATTCAAGATTGTTTTTCATCATAAACTTAAATCAGTCAATCAACTGTCAGTAATCATAAAACTCTGAACATAGATTATTTGAAAATTTTGTGATATCTGATTAAAGATAACAAAAATCCTAAATCTTTTGGCAGTGTTGAGATCTCTGAGTTGAACATTTAATATCAAAGCTTTTCTTTTCGTTGTGAACAATGTCAGTCATTATCTTACGCTTAAAATATGAATTTTTCTTTATTATTTCAAAATAAACAGTTGTCCTAACACATACGTTATCCTTTATGCTGTCGATTTCAGCTACTACTAGAACATGGTGGTTGAGTTTGCTTTTTGTGACGATCCGGCCGAGCTATATTGACTGAAATATTCGGTCCTACCATCCCAAGTAGGTTGGCTAGAAAGCGGTAAGATTAAAAACAGCAAACTCATGGTCTGAGGTTACAGCCATAAAGCCAAGTGTTATGAGGTGTAGTGGTAGTAAGGTGTTTCCCTCAGACAACCAGACTCTTCAACAATTCTGCCATCTTACAGTGAAAGGAATGGGTTATAAAAGGTCAGCTCTAAAAACAGCACACCTCACCTTACTCCATAGGTTTCCATCTTCATCAGTAAGGTTTTAAAAGTGTGGAAGTAGCTTATCTAAAACTACTCGGAAAAAGGGTCATGTACTCCTTTGGATCTGGGGTCACACTCTAAGGCGTCTAAGACCACTACTAATGCATTTCCTTTTACTCGCGTCTCAATAAAAACTATTATTTTATGCTGTAGATAGCCAGAAAGTAAAAACCGCTCTTATACCTATAACAGCATGTGAGATCACCTCGTTCACAATCAAATCCCATCTTCATTAACAAATAGTTCTTCTGTTCCTACCATCAAACATCATCTTCTGTCTTCGAATTCCCCTACTATTTTACCAGTGCAAACGACTAGAGTTCATGAAATGCCATCCTAGGTCTCCTGAAACCACGCTCCAAGCTATATGTTGAAGCTTTCAATGTTCAGACCCAAAGCCAAATCGAATAATAGATACCACTAGCTAAAGCGATAGAATTTGACGCCATTAATTTATGCTGTCTCCAAAATATGCATACAAGATTCCAACATTATCGTTGATTTGACCTCGTCTAATAAAATACCCTCTCGTAATAAATCACAGAGAAATCAGTTTGACTAAAATAGTATTTAAAACACTAGCCTCCATAATAATCTAACGTTAACCAGCTTCTCAGAAACAACTCCGAGAAAGGCACGTTGATTTCAGGAGCAAGCGTGAACGGACTGATCAACTATTCGCCAGGTTTTAGAATTCATGAATACTTACCGACGTATGACTGTAGTTGTACTTTTTTGGCCCTAAAACAGTATTTGAACACGTTAACTGAGAGGTTTTGTGGCAATATTTGTCGTTGAAAGGAGTACCAAAGTACTTCATAAACCTTGTGAAGAATCTCTCATCAAACACTATTCATCGAGCCAGAGCTTACAGTAAACTGTCATTAGAGCTGTCAACCCGAATTATCCTTCGTCATAGTTACACATTAGCCCCATTTTTATTTAATTTTTTCGCCCATATCCTCCTTGAAATAACGTTTTCTTTGCCTGAATTCTCCGGAATTTATTCCCTGCCATAAGATATACTTGCTGACTCAGAATAGACAAATGATATGGTTCTATCTGGTGAAGATGCTAAGAAAAATACCGTCTTCTTAACGTCTTGAACAAAAATGCAGGCATGTTTCGGATACGATTCTCTCCTCTTAAATGCAAAATGTAACTTCATAACCAATCTGCGTCAACGCCTGGAATATTGATAGACAGCGAAGTAGTTAAGCACGTCTGTCATTTCACTCATTTTGAAAGTTTCATAAATCTTGGTTGGTATCTGACGAAATCTCAGTAAAGATTCGGAAAGTTATGCTGGCTTTTTCAACTTGCTTCGCTTAAGGCGTAGATGCCGGCTCAGTGGTCTAGAGATTAAGTGTTCACGCGCAAGACCGAAGGTCCTAGGTTCGAGCCTCAAGTGCGGGATCATGGGTGCGCACTGCTGAGGAGTCCTGTACTGGGACGAAACCCACGTCTAGTGCTTCCAGGTTTTCGATGCTGCTCTAGCTTAAATCGACTCATAAATTCAACTATTACAATATTACAATCTCCACAAACCCCCAGTCTGATATTAATCGTAATTGTTTATTATGCATAGCTGAAGAGTTATAAATTTTGTAACAATTAATGTTTTAAATTTCTACAAGCCACTCAGTTTTTGATTAACGTTTAAAATAATTAGCCCATTTGGTAAACTGACACAGTGTAATGAGAATACGAGATTTATTAAGACAGTGGGCTACATTGGAGTAATGTAAATCAAGTAATTTAATCACGTAATAGATTTATGTGAGCAATGAAAAAGTTATTCTATACAAACGGCAACACTAGGAACAATAAAGATAATAAGAACACTAATCAAACCCCTCTGGATATTAAATTAAAATCTGTATTACCAGGGTCGATCGTATGTAAAAGTACAAACTGATTTCGAACACACACGATGGCGCTGATCTGCTTATTTTAAATATATCTAACTAATAAATCATACATTTCCGATAAAATTTATCTCCTTATTGCACTATCGAGATCGTCAACATGCTCTGTTCACAGTTACTTGTTCTTATTTATCCTTCTTGTGTCGTTTATCTGAGAATTCCCTTTGTATTATCATCAGACCAAAACACTAACTGTGTGTTTTATGTGTTTTCGGTTGATTGCACACAGATGTTGTAAAAGAAATCACTGCCAAAACTACTTTCCACAAGCTTTTTCACATATTTAAAGAGAAGATTAACAAACATTCAGACACCTCATGTTTCATAGATGAAGTATTTTAGATTGCTAAATGAATCAACCTTACTTAAAATAAAAATATGGATCGTTTAATTTCAACTAAATGATCTAAAGTTAGCACACTCATCATTATAAATAAAGGTTCTGATTTTCATTATTGGCAAGTTACTGGGTACATACAAGGTAGGAGCTCCAAGACGACTACCTAGCGTTTCTTGATTTTTTAAAATGGTTCCCTAAGAGATCTCAGTTCGTGATGAAAATTGACATCGAGCCCAGTAATCATTTATCACAAAACAATACCAATATATTTAGTGATTACAAATGAGTGTTTCTACTTATATAATGAGTCATAAAATGATGCATTTTTAGAACAGAAAATTTTAATCGTTATAATTCAGGCAATTTCGCTTTAAAGATACTCAGTTACCTCTAAAACATTTTGTCACTGTCAAAGTAATTGATTATAGGGCAAGTTTTTTTTTTTTTTACTTGAGATATGTAATACTGTTCTAAATCTTAAACTGTTTTCAGTTTCGGTGAGTTTCCAACTAAATTTTACTATGCGAATAGAGATAGAAGCAGAATCGCTACTAATACTACTTCTATTATTATTATTTCTGTCCTTGTTATAGTTGCGTTACTGGTGTTTGCAAACACAAAATGGTTGTACACATCACATAAGTGATTATAATGAAAGAATAAAGTTCATTGTAGACAAAGTTTGCCTACTTCTCTGTTAATTGATGTTTCATTTTACAATGGGGTTGATCTTTTTCTTCATTGGTCAGCAAATTTTGGTGGTTTATTTTTATGGCCTCATTTTCATGGTACACACTTTGATTAACTCATCATTTGATGTACCCTGTTATCAACTACTGAAGATCATGAAGGACTGAATTAGTGCCTTCTCTCATTTTGTAACTTTATAGCATACCTATACTTCATGCGCAAATTAAACTCGACTCCTTTAGCTTTTCTATATGAAACATATTTCAATTCAATCATTATGCTTAGAATTCATGATTCATATTCTTGTATTTTAATAATTTCATCACAGAATGTGACTACTATAATCAGAGGTCATTCCTCTGCATTCTTAACTTACTTGGTGAATATCGTTTCAGATAGTAAGCATAAGCATTGAAGTTATTATAAACGGTTTGTAATTCTAGATATTAGTATGATTAACTTAAAAAACTCTTTCACAATACAAAGTATAGTGGTAAAAAACATTTTGACAAACAGTGATAAATAAATAAATAAGTCGACTAAATAATTGACTCAATAATTGAATGTACTGACGTAAAGTCGCATACAAAAGTGGATCAGTTACATTATTTTTATTATTCTGAAGCGTCCTAACTAGGTAAAATGATCAATCTGAACTAAACGGAGAAAACTATGGATAAATAGTGAGAATTAAAAGTTCAAGAGGAAAAAAGTAGAGGGAAGAACGAAGTTGTAATACTGATCTTAATCTTCATTAATTTTTGTTCAAGACTTCAGTTATTCCCTTTTTATTTGTCAATAATCTGGGTATTGAGTGGTTTGGCGAAAAAGTATGATGACTTGATATTATTACAATATACATTTGTTAACTGACACTCAAAATGTATTACTTGTCTTATTCATCTGACATTTGATAAAAAGACTAAAATCGCTATTAATATGCTACATATAAGCGATTCATTATTTACTTAAATAATATTTATTAAAGATCAAACAATTTACAGTGATCCACTTTTATTTTTCTTCCATTTTTTATGTTTTAGAACTCAGTGAGACCAATAAATTATTGTCATACAAATAACAAACAACAGATCGTCAACACACCGTCTACATCATCGTTAATAACACCATCAAAATTATACTCTCCATCTTTTAGTAATTATAATCAAACATATGGTACAATATCCTTATCTCAACTACACCAATTACATACACGTAAATGGGCAAATTAAGGAAATAAAATAAATTTTTTGCGAAAATCTGTAAACATCTTTTTTTTCTTCTTGATCTTCATGTTTTCATTAGATCATTAAATGTACACATTCATATCAGGGATAAATTATTAGCAAATGAATAATACAATGTCCATTCATTGTATTTACAAATTGTAATGTGTACTTTACCATGATTAAAATTTAACACCACTACCGTGATTTTCTGAAAAAGAAAAATTCGCATTTTTTTTAAATTTTAAATCATTTCTACGAAATTTTCACATTTACTACTTCAATGAACTGATTATTCTTTTACAATTTATGAATCTACTTTTCATTCTAACTAATGATAATCGATGTATTTTCATTAATTCATTAAACATGTACTAAATAGTAATTCAAGAAAGTTGTATAAATTTCATCAGAATGAAGAAAATTGTACTAATAGTTTTTAATATTCGGAATATGTTGTATCCATCTTTATTTATGAGTAATAATAAATAAATAAATAATGTGCAACTATGTTCAATATTTGTATACTTCATTGTAGTCCTAAATGTTGTTATATCTCTAGAAATAGTTTACGATGACGATTATATTGACAGTAAAATAAAGAGGAATAAGTATAACTAATCTGTTCAGTATGTTTACTGTTGCTGTTATTATTATTATTTACAATAAATGTGTAAAATAAATTTGAAATAGATTTTTTCTTCCTATTGTTAATCGTGTCTCTTTCAACATGGAAGTGTACTTCATATGCTCTTGAGTAGTTTAGTTCAGATAGTCCTTAATCCATTGATGTGTATTTTAATCATTTTTAATTACAATTATGATTTTTTTGAAAATGTTTTTTGTAAAATTGTGGTAAAAATTAAGTGGTTGTGTAGATAATTTTTTTTTGAAGACTATATTCCTAACCAAAATCAATAGATCAACCAAGTTTTTGGTGAGACAATAAGTCGATAGTGACATTGGATTAGAATAGTGCTGGTTGAAATGATCGTGAAAGTTCATCAACCGAGGTGGTTTAAACATCCGTTATACATGTTCATCCATCGACTACATCGATGATCCGTTGATTGAAAGAAAGTGAGAAATAGGTAAAACAAAACATGACATCAGTCCATGAAGACAGTGACTATTGGATTGACCCGTCCAGGTAGACGCAGACTATCTGGTTGAGGGCCTTACGACTATCGGAATCAATGGTCAGAGAAAGTTGAAGCCGTGATTTAGATTCAGTTCCAATGGTGAAGGTGCATTTTATACTGTTTATTCTTTTTTGGGAACCATATTCTTCATGCCTAATCTTTTTCACCACCACTAGTCCTGTCACCGTAACTTTTACTGTGACATCCATCTTGATAACTTGATTTCGCTGTGCTGTTGTAAAAGAGGCAAATTGGGTCAATGAATATATTACCACGTTGTACATTGCTCATAGCTTACTGAGCTCATTTGCCTGAAGGTATCACATATTTTGTGGAGAACCTGAATTTGTTTAGATATTGGATTATGGACGCGTAAAGTTTCAATTCAAAACGAATAGGCCAACTATTAACTTTTGGTTTCAAGGAATCAAAATATTTAATAATAGGACTCTCGTTGTTTAACAGAACACTTTTATATGCTGACAGGGACTGTAGTTATCCCGTAAGGTCGAAAAATCAATCATACATTCAGAAGGGTTATATATATACTACTTCGTTGACCTAAAACCTCACCAATGATTGTTGACAATCATTTATTTTCATATACTGGATTTTGTAAAGGATTATTAGGTTTTTTAAACCTCAACAAGGCTAGAGAAATCATGAGTGGGAGTAATATGAAAACAGGTGATCAAACATCATATATTTGAAACGAATGAATTATCACCGTTAACTGAGCACCTAGATCGGCAGTTATTATCAATTTCTCCGCGAAAACTTTCATAGATGTTAGTCTGGCTTAATGAGTCTTGGTTGACAAACTTGTTGTCAAATTTCTCTCAATTAATGAGTAATCAGATATTTATAAGACCCTTCTATATTCCAGGGATTGTACAGTCATGAAATCTGTTTCCTTTTGAAACTCACAAGCCTTAATTTTATTATTACTAAATAAAGTTTTCTTACCCACGAAAGCGTTTTAATACAGAGACTTAGTTATTAAAACTGCTATCAATTGCTCAACTTAAATCAGACATGATGTTTTTCTACACTAATATGGTGTTTATGAATAGCGGATTATCACTAAATCGACCCTGAAATATTTCAAGTAGTTCCATTTAGAAATAAAAGTCAGAAACTTTATAACGATATCATTTTCTTGTTTATTAACTAATTTAGTTAGTCACTCTATAATTAGTAGCGTAGTCTTTAAACATGGGTACGAGGTGATTTGTATTAAAATTATTGTTTCTCATTACTCAAGTGATCTTGATATTATGAATAGTTGTAATCAATTTATGAAATATTTACTCATAAGGGAAACTTTATGAACTGTTATTAGTTTTATTATACGTATCTCATAGTTATCAACGAATTTCATATAAAAAGCATCAATTGCTGTTTCGTTATACTTATCTCTTACTGATCATAATATTGGAGCAAGTACACTTTTACGTTTGGTTACCGTTTATTGGTTTCTCTCCGAACAGTTTACTACAATAAACTAACCTGTAATTAACCATTTCACTATCAATTGTTAATGGATATAAACTTCAATTCATCGCACTATTTCTTCTATTCTAGTAAAATAATTTATCATAAATGTTAATTTTAATCTTAGTAACTACGTTATTACAATCATTAAAACTAATATATTCTAATGTTTATAAATATTTCTTAATCACGCAATAAAGTAGATTTTTAATTCTTGACATTCTATTATTTTTTATAATTCCGGAAAAAAGGTTTGCAAGAAGTAAAAAACATGGATCCATTTAGTCAAAGCCGAAATAGGAAGATTAGTGAGTAACCAGTAAATCTAGACCTTTAGACACTATTAAATTTGTCATTGGTATGACATAAAAATCCTTAGTATTTAATCTAGTCAATTCATTTTATAAGAAGAATCAGTGTACCCAATCTAATCTTGTTTTTAGTACAACATTGGTTAAAAGTGTATGTTTGAAATAAGGTGGAAGCAAATTACCAATTTTTTTTCAGAATAATTCAAACCTCAATTTTTCATCAAAAATTAGTCACAAACATTTTTAATAGATCATATTACATAAGAAATGTGTTTTTACACACTTATGGTTTCAACAAAAAATTTAAAAAAAAACTGGCGATCACATTACAAAGGCGCCCGAGATATGTGAATATGTAAACTAAACCAGTGAAGGTGTTACAGAATTCACGATGAAAAATAAGCATTTACGTATGTTAATAAATGAATAATTAATTTATTTTAATTTCACTGAGACAAAAACATACACTCTAGTGTGAAGGTTTGCAGTCAAACGAAATAGGATAACTTGTAAACGTAATGTCATGTGCCAATTTTTGTTCAGCATATACGGAAGCATTACTTCAAACTTTTTGAAGTTTTTTACAACACAAGGGATTTTGTGGAAATTAGCTCAGTTTAGAAATACCATTCGTTACCGACTAATGTCATTTGAAGGATCAGTGACAGTTCTGAGTTCTATCCTGATAAAACTACAGATACTGAAAGGTGCTTATCTAGAACACAAGGATTCCCAATATCTCTCTGGTTTTATTGGCTCTTCAAATGATATCAATCAGAGAAAAACTCCTCTCAAATTTTCACAAGCTTATCGGTGATTGTAGAGAAAAAGTGAATAATAACAGAACAAAGGGAAAACATTTTATTGAATTCGATCAATCAAGAAATCTACAGTTTGCCGGGTCACAGAAATCTGTATTCAATAATTTTAAGATTTAATCCTTTGTGTCGATCTGACTATCTTGAAGAGTTTTTCATCGTACTTCTGTTTCAAATAACGCCTTATATAGCGGTAAACTCCAAATGACCTTTGGTAGCATATATTTTGTTTACCACAGTTGACGATATATGTGAATGCCACTAACAGAATTTAAAGGAAAAAAACATAATTAGGTCACTAGACAGTAAGCTAAAAGGAAACAAAACTTCATCTTTAATTCAATGAATAAATGGAAGTGAACTAATATTCATATAGTTTAAAATAAACATCTAGTAAACGTTATACTGTATGTTACAATGATTGATTTCTGAATTCAGTGAAAAATAATGTATGAAACCAGTACTGAAGTGTGATGTTTATACAAAATATCTAAATCAAATCTCTTTACCGTTTATAAAGTTCAATAAGTGGTCACGTAAATGGTTTAGTTGATATAGGGACTTACTTACTTACGCCTGTTTCTCCTCGTGAAGGAACATAGGCCACTCACCAGCATTCGCCATCCAACCCTGTCCTGGAAAATCCTTTCCAGCTCTTTCCAGTTGTTATTCATCCTTTTCATATCTGCTTCTATCTCCCAACGTAATGTGTTCTTTGGCCTTTCTCTTTTCCGCCTTCCTTCAGGATTCCAAGTTAGGGCTTGTCTCGTGATGCAGTTTGACGATTTGCGTAGTGTATGTCCTATCTATTTCCATCCTCTTTTCCTAATTTCCTCTTCAGCTGGAAGCTGGTTTGTTCTCTCACACAAAAGGCTGTTGCTGATGGTATCCGGCCAATGGATGTTGAGTATCTTGCGTAGACAACCATGTATAAATACTTGCACCTTCTTGATGATGGTTGTTGTAATTCTCCAAGTTTCAGCTCCATACAATAGAACTGTCTTGACATTCGTATTGAAGATTCTCACTGTGATATTGGTTGAAAGTTGTTTTGAGTTCCATATGTTCTTCAACTGTAGGAATGCTGTCCTTGATTTGCCAATCCCCGCCCTTATGTCTGCATCTGAACCTCCTTGTTCATCGATGATGCTTCCCAGATATGTGAAGGATTCTATATCTTCCAGAGTTTCGCCATCAAGAGAGATTGGACTGCTGTTCTTCGTTTTGAATATGAGAACCTTGATTTTCTCCTTGTGTATGATGAGGCCTACTGATGCAGAGACTGCTGCTACACTGGCTGTCTTTGCCTGCATTTGTTCGTGTGTATGCTATAGGAGGGCAATGTCATCTGAGAAGTCCAAATCGTCTAATTGGTTCTGAGCTGTCCATTGTATTCCGTGTTTTCCCTCAAATGTCGAGGTCTTCATAATCCAGTCGACCACGAGAAGAAGGAGGAAGGGAGAGAGTAGACAGCTTTGTCTGACTCCGGTTCTTACTTGGAATGCATCTGTCAGCTGTCCTACATGCACGACTTTGTATTGTAGTCCGTCGTATGAGTTCCGGATAATGTTGACAATC